ATTGGAAAACATTTTGTTTACCCGTCCCCGCTACTGTTGGGCTTGCAGGAAATACGGTCCTGTGACGCAGGAAAAGCTCGATTTCCAGGCCTTAGGTGACTAATGTAAGGCAGGCTGAGTTTCGACCATTGCCCAATCCAATTCAACTTGGGATAAGAGTTATCTACCGTCAACACCTAGCTTATTTAACTCAAAGCGCACGCCTCCGCATAAATTTCTAAGTGTTTGCGCTTCACATTGTTGTCGATGAACTGATTCCTTAGGTCTGATAATATCAGAATAGCTAATTGTTATAACTGTATATGTAAAACTTGCCACAGTACCGAGATACTTCCACCAAAGCGCAGTCCTGCTGTTTCGCTTTATGGAATATCCATTCGTGAAGCCCAAGCTCAAGTACAATCGAAAAGTTTATGCGGACCTATCACAAAATCAACAGGTCAAGGCGCTTTTGGGGGTGCTGATAAGAGCCGCTCAATGGTCAGTAAAGGTCACCTCTACAAACAAAAAGTTCTTCACCCCAAAGTCTGTTCTGCTAGGGCTATTCCATAGCTTGGCAAATCTCGGATCACGTCGTGAAATCTGCCGCTTGAATTTAGTTTTACTAAAATCTAAGCTTTTCTTACTTAAAGCTTTGAGAAATTTAGTCACCCTTAATCTCGATGTGCTGCTTTATGGTGTGCCTATCGACTACTAATGCCTGTAATCCCATCGCGCTGACTTTTTTGCGCGTCTTAGGTTGGGAAAAGACTAATTTCCATCTAAATAATCCTGGATAGAACTCCCATTGATGAATCACATTCTTTTTGCTATTTGAAACCCTTACTTTCAATGTTCCGGATTTTCCCTTGTTATCCCGGCCCAGCCCGAACCACCGAATGCATTACGCTTGCATACCCGGGGCTCCTATCGACCCGCGCGTGTCACTTATTTACATATCTGACGACTACCCCCCGCCCGACCCCTCGGGTCATGTGCAGCTGGATGATGAGTCAGTCAGCTGTTCCGGCGGAGTAAATACACTTTTATCGATTTGAGCAAGAGCTTTATCCCATTTTCGCACGGACCTTAACAATCAAAGTGTTTTCCTTGACACTTTCATTATTTTCTTCAAATTTTTCTCTGCTTGCGGCTACTTTTTTTTATTTTTTGATAAGCTCGATTACCTTCTTTTTAATTTGTTATAACAGCTTTAATAGCGGATTTTACAAGTATCTTAGATATTGCCTCGCTATCCTTAAATGAGTCTTCCCAAACATTTTTTAACTTGGCTAGCTTAATGATTCCGCGCAGTTCCTTTTGACGTTCAATCGTAACAATTTCCCAAGGTCTGTTTATAAAAATTGCCGGTTTCGCTGTGAGCGGTCCAATTTCCTCGTTAGGCAACGGAAATGAGGCCTACATTTTTTGCGGTCGGCTTTCCTCCACTCTTGTCCGGCTGGAAGTGAGAACTATTGTTTTCGCTCGGCAGGGGGGTTTTGCATTTGATTGGCACATAATTATTTATCGCAAAAATCATAGAGCATAATTTTACCACGCAGGCGCCGATACTAAGCAATAAATATGCTATAACGCTATTTTTCACCCATTTAAAGCGCACGTTCAGGGAGGGGCCGTATACTCGTCCCAACGTATACACCCTATGGACGTAGGGACCGCGCGCACTGCCTGCCCGTGCTGTGACAGGCCATTCCCTCCTTGCTGGCGGGGCGCCCTCGCCCCTCGCCAGGTTGTAGCTGTGGCTGACTGGTATCCATCCGCGCCTCCCGAGCGGGGGACCCGGGTTCGACCCCCGGCCGCGGCGAAAATCTTTGCTTTTTTCCAAAAAAACGTCCCTGAACGTGCCCTTTAAGCAGGAAAAGCTTAGGAAAGTTTTCGTTAAGTCAGAAGGAAAATTTTGCTGAATTAAATATGCTATATAGCTATAAAATCTGTCACGAAGCTTTGTTTTTGTAAAAGAAAAAGAGAGACATCTTGTTTTTCACTAATAAATTAGCTATTTAAAGATGAAAATTAAATACTGGTTAACGGTGTTTAGAAGCCAGATTGCTCCGCAGTTTTTAGAATTGCTATACCGTAAGCATTAAGGTTGTAAATTAATGTCTAATGCCGTTGCTTAACAACAGCACTTTATTAAACAACGGCAGAAAATGAAGCAAAATTGGAAAATCACAAAGCAAAATCGAAATTAAAATTTAAAAACTGATTTAGAGTCGAAAAATAACAATTTTAAAAATCGTACAACGACACCGCCTCGATTCCCGTCGTTTTATATCCGGTTTCAAAAAATAAGCACTTCACCCATAACCCTCGATGGGAAGTCATTTATTCCCCCCTGCTGTCCCCCTTGAAACAGATGGATGGGGGTTGGCCAAGGCCCTTTAGTAGGGCGGGAATCGATAGCTGGCCACTACCCCTTTGCATTGCCCTCTGCTGCTGCTACACCTTGCCCGGAAATCTGTCGGGTTTAGCACAAAAAGAACGCTCCTGGCAACAGCATGGACTATTTATGGGATCCACGCCGCGGTTCCGTGTTCGTCCTTTGGACCAAGTCGTAGTCTGCGCTTTGAGCAAAAAATTTAGCGCTTCGGCCGTTTCAAATCGCGCTGTTTCCTCCATTCCCGCGTTCAGATTACTCCTCGAATTGCTCAATTTATGATTATTGCAATAGCCCATCCATTAAAATATCGCTATTTTCATCTTTTACAACTTTAAAAATTTGTATTTCTGCTTGAAAACTGCCTCGGATATTTTCCTTGGTTTGAAAACAAATTTTAAAAATAGAAAATTGATTTATTCTTCTGATTTTTTGTGTTGCTTCTGAATCGCTCCGGTTTTCTTGTGCCAAGAGTGAAAAATTTGATTTGTTGGCCCACGCCCTCTACGCTTCTTACCGCGTCAAACCTTCGTTTTCACACGGTTTCCCCCATTGAGTAAATACAAATATTTCGCCCTCAGCGGGGCTTTGGTCCTTTCACGAACCTCCCCTTGTAACTTTTACTTTACTACAACCATGCGCGTTGATGATCAACTATAATAATTTTGCTGTGGTCTCCGTCCGTCCGTCTGTCCGAAGCCGAATTCAACTCGAAGGGGAAAAGAGCTAGAGCTTAGCTCTCTTCGGATTCGATAGAGCTGGTCAGAAACCCCCAAACTGATAAAAAATTATGAAAACCTTTAGTTTAAATTATTAAAATTAACTTTGAAAGTTTTTTCCTTAGTAAACGGGGTCGGCGACGGAGGTTGGGGTGATTTTGGACATAGTGAGCCAGGTGGCGCGCGTTTCGTGGATGAAAATTTTCACGGAGGATTTCATTTCTTTTTTTCCCTCATTCCATCCGGTCGGTCGTTATTTTTGTTTTTTAAGGGGATTTCGGCTAGGGGAGTTATCTTAAACCATCGGGAAAGTATTTAGGTAGTTGTTGAAGGGGATTTCAGCCATGGGGGGTATCTGAAGCCATCAGGAAGGTATTTAGGTAGTTTTTGAAGGGGATTTCAGCCATGGGGGGTATCTGAAGCCATCAGGAAGGTATTTAGGTAGTTTTTGAAGGGGATTTCAGCCATGGGGGGTATCTGAAGCCATCAGGGAGGTATCGAAGTAGTTTTTGAAGGGGATTTCAGCCATGGGGGGTATCTGAAGCCATCAGGAAGGTATTTAGGTAGTTTTTGAAGGGGATTTCAGCCATGGGGGGTATCTGAAGCCATCAGGGAGGTATCGAAGTAGTTTTTGAAGGGGATTTCAGCCATGGGGGTATCTGGAGCCATCAGGAAGGTATTTAGGTAGTTTTTGAAGGGGATTTCAGCCATGGGGGGTATCTGAAGCCATCAGGAAGGTATTTAGGTAGTTTTTGAAGGGGATTTCAGCCATGGGGGGTATCTGAAGCCATCAGGAACGTATTTAGGTAGTTTTTGAACGGGATTTCGGCTATGGGGGGTATTGATGGAGGTGGGAAAGGATGTGGTGGAGTGAGACATGTAGGGTAGCCCGAAGGCCAGATGGTTGCAGTCGCGAAGCGACTGTAACCATCTGGTTTCTCTATAATGCCCTGATAAAAATTATGTTTATTGAACCTTGAATTCAATTCTGAACGCTCCGGAATTGCATTAGCTAGATTAGAAATACCCACTTATAATTTCTTTTAGATCAATGGAGCACCGTGGCAGCTTCAGCAAAATGGAGCCACTGCCGGGGGCCAGCAGCACGTACACGACAAATGCGCCACGGGGATTGCCAGTTGCTTGTGAGTTCATAACATTTTGAAAATTGATGTATTTCATTGCACCGAAACACGAAATTTGACGCGAAAAGTCGTTAGACAAATTGTATATATAATATTATTTATTCGACAAAACACAAAAGCGGAAACAAAAGCCAAGGCGTTGGATGACCCAATTGTTGCCAAAACTTGCCTATCTCTGCGCCGCAACACCCAGAGATTCGGGGGGCTGATAAGGTTTATCCGCGATAACAAGGCATTCTTACGATTCTTTTTTTTCCTTTCCGTTGCTTTTCCTTAAAAAAAGGATTTCACTCTTTTCTCTATCTGCCCCTCTCTCCCTCTCTCTCTTTCTCTCTTTCTCTCGCTCTGTGGCCATCTATCTCTATCTCTATCTATCTCTCTCGCTCTCTATATCTCTATCTCTCTCGCTTTATCTGCCACTCTCGGCCTCTCTCTCGCCCTGCCACTCTCTCTCTCTCTCTCCCTCTTTTTCTCCCTCATTCGTACCGCCTGTACTCTCAATATTTGCTAAAATCCACGGATAGGAATCCCGGAACCGAAAATGTCCAGCAGATCACTCGATTCCTAGCGGCGGGGGAAAGGAACGCCCGGCGAAGGTCAAGACAGAAAAATGTTCCTAAAAACGGGGGTCGAGCAACTCTTGAGAAAACCGCCATCAATCCATCTACCCACCGGGTGTAACCCAATTTGCCCCAAAAATCGCTAGCGAGCCGAATTTTTTTGCTATTTGCTAAAAAATGCACGCGAACGAACCGTTGGTGGAAGATGGACAGCAGAAGGGGGATAGACGAGGTCAGGTTCTAGCGTTCTAACGGAGGTTCCTGAGGTTCTCGCTTTAAAGAGAGATTTTCGTTACCTATTTTCGTTTAAAACTTGAATTTTTGAATACTGTTTTCGTTGTCCTTGTAGAATTTAATAGAATGTAAGCAAAAAAATTGTATATTTTCTAGGAACTCGCAGAAAAAATTTCGTTTTGAGCCAGTCCAGCATTTATAATTTATTTTTCGTCAATCGATCCATTTCTATTCATAGAAAAAAAACTACTTTTCGGATTAAGTACAATAAGTTCCATTTTTTAATGAAACAATTTTATAGCGTATTAGCGTTTTAAAACCAAAATCTATTTCAAAAGCGGAACCGCGCCACAGGTTCGCGATACGGTAATTTCTACAAAATTCTAAAAAAAAATAGCGTTTGTCATTCTCAATGTTCGATTCCAGTGCGTATGCCACAAAACAAGAAGCAGTTGATCCTGTGGCTGGCCTGCTTCGGGGTGGTGCTGCTGGCTATCATTATTGCATCTGGGATCTACACCTGTATTCATCATGTTGATGAAGGGCATGTCGCTGTGTATTACCGGGTACGTATTATAGGTATATTGGCTGTTGACCAATAATTGAAAGGCCTATCATATGTATCGCAGTAGTATAAAAATTGCATTCTGGGTATTCAAATATCGAAATACATTTTAGGGTGGAGCATTGTTAGATGACGTCGTCGGGCCCGGGTATCACTTCAAGCTGCCGTGGTTGACTACTGCCAAGCAGGTTCAGGTATGATTTTGAGAACGAGAGAGAGAGAGAGAGCGAGAGAGAGAGAGGACGAGAGATGGAGAGCGAGCGGGAGAGTGAGTGAGAAAGAGCGATCGCGAGATAGATAGAGAACGAGAGAGAGCGAGAAAACGAGAGATAAAAATTGGAGAGAGCGAGAGCGAGCGTGAGAGCCAGAGATAAAAAGTGAGAGAGCGAGAGAGAGAGAGAAAGAGAGAGAGAGAAGTGATAGAGCCTGTTCTAACAATCCCCCCTTCAGATCACCATCCAAACCGACGAGATCCAAGATGTTCCGTGCGGTACGCAGGGTGGTGTCATGATTTACTTCGATCGCATTGAAGTAATCAACATTCTGAGCCGTGATGCTGGTAGGTTTTTAACTGCTTGAAGCCGATTGATGATCTGACGTCTCCAATCACCTTTTTTTAGTCCACGGCGTTGTGAAGAACTACACCGTCGACTATGATCGTCCTCTTATTCACCAGAAGGTGCACCACGAGATCAACCAGTTCTGCAGCAAGCACACTATTCAGGAGGTGTACATCGATCTTTTCGGTGGGTTTTAATTCTGAACTTTTGTCTCTCTCTATCTCTCTCTCTCTCTCTCTTTCTTTCGCTTTCTTTCTATCCCTCTAATTTCTTAAGCCTGTGAATTCAGACAAAATCGACGACAACCTGAAGCACTCGTTGCAGCAGGAGGTGCAGATCATGGCGCCTGGACTCTACGTTCAGTCCGTTCGTGTGACAAAGCCAAGAATTCCGGCCGCAATTCGGGCTGATTATGAGAGGATGGAAACCGAAAAGGTAAGACATAGAGAAGAATAGGGAGAGAGAGAGAGAGAGAGAGAGAGAGAGAGAGAGAGAAAGAGAGAGAGAGAGCGAGAGAGAGAGAGAACCAGAGAACGAGAGAGAGAGAAACTGCCTGTCTAAACCGCTGTTTCAGACGAAACTGCTCGTCGCCATCCAGCACCAGAAGGTCGTCGAGAAAGAGGCCGAGACCGAGCGGAAGCGCGCTATTATCGGTAAGTAATTTCATCTTCACGGGCTGCAGTGTGTCCGAATGTGCTCGTAAAATGACATAATTCTGAATAAAATTAACATATTTCAGAGGCCGAAAAACACGCCCAGGTCGCTACCGTCAAGCACAAGCAGGTGATCGCCGAGAAGGAAATGGAAAAGACCGTCAACGAGCTGCAAAACCAGATTAATTTGGGTAAGCTCGAGATTTATTCTAATTTAGAGGGATAGAGACGGCGGTTATATATCAGACCTCATCTACAAAAAGCCACCCGTTTGCTTTATGCAAAAAAAAAAACGCGTTGGTGAGCGTGTTCAGGCTGAGGGAGCAGCGTGGCCTTCCGCTCAATCGCCCGTTTTACACTAATTTGCATTGGTCCCCATTGTTGACATTGTAGAAAATTGTTGAATTTATGTATTTTGCCTACGGTAAGATAAGGGCGAATACCGTGCATACTTCATACCAAAAATGAGTTAATTTTCAGCACGCGAAAGGGCCAGCGCCGACGCCGAGTACTACCGCATTCAGAAGGAGGCCGAGGCCAACCAGAAGCTGCTCACAAAGTGAGAAAGTTTACGTTTTGACGCTTAGTACAAGTTTTACATCGTATTTTAATAATTCATAACCACCTGTTAATTTAATATCCCGCGTTACATAATTCATTCTAGGGAATACATCGAGCTGCAACGCATCCACGCGATCAAAGAGAACAACAAGATCTACTACGGTGACAGCATTCCCAAGGCGTTCATGCAGGTAATCATTTAAATATAAGATTTTTATCAACAAGGAATACGTTTTTTAAACCCATTAAACTAGCTATCAACTATAATAATTTTCTTGACGCGTCCGTCTGTCCGTCTGTGTGAAGCCGAATTCAACTCGAAGGGGAAAGGAGCTAGAGCTTAGCTCTCTTCGGATTCGGATAGAGCGTGGTCAGAAACCCCCAAACTGATAAAAAAATTACGAAAAAGTTTTAGTTTAAATTATTAAAATTAACTTTGAAAGTTTTTTCCTTAGTAAAAGGGGCGGGGGACGGAGGTTGGGGTGATTTTGGACATAGTGAGCCAGGTCGCGCGCGTTTCGTGGATGAAAATTTTCACGGGGGATTTCATTTCTTTTTTTCTTTCATTCCATCCGGTCGGTCGTTATTTTCGTTTTTTAAAAGGATTTCGGCTAGGGGAGGTATCTTAAACCATCAGGAAGGTATTTAGGTAGTTTTTGAAGGGGATTTCAGCCATGGGGGGTATCTGAAGCCATCAGGAAGGTATCGAAGTAGTTTTTTAAGGGATTTCAGCCATGGGGGTATCTGAAGCCATCAGGAAGGTATCTAGGTAGTTTTTGAAGGGGATTTCAGCCATGGGGGGTATCTGAAGCCATCAGGAAGGTATCTAGGTAGTTTTTGAAGGGATTTCAGCCATGGGGGGTATCTGAAGCCATCAGGAAGGTATCTAGGTAGTTTTTGAAGGGGATTTCAGCCATGGGGGGTATCTGAAGCCATCAGGAAGGTATCTAGGTAGTTTTTGAAGGGGATTTCAGCCATGGGGGGGTATCTGAAGCCATCAGGAAGGTATCTAGGTAGTTTTTGAAGGGGATTTCAGCCATGGGGGGTATCTGAAGCCATCAGGAAGGTATCTAGGTAGTTTTTGAAGGGGATTTCAGCCATGGGGGGTATCTGAAGCCAGCAGGAAGGTATCTAGGTAGTTTTTGAAGGGATTTCAGCCATGGGGGGTATCTGAAGCCATCAGGAAGGTATCTAGGTAGTTTTTGAAGGGATTTCAGCCATGGGGGTATCTGACGCCATCAGGAAGGTATCTAGGTAGTTTTTGAAGGGGATTTCAGCCATGGGGGTATCTGAAGCCATCAGGAAGGTATCTAGGTAGTTTTTGAAGGGGATTTCAGCCATGGGGGTATCTGAAGCCATCAGGAAGGTATCTAGGTAGTTTTGAAGGGGATTTCAGCCATGGGGGTATCTGAAGCCATCAGGAAGGTATCTAGGTAGTTTTTGAAGGGGATTTCAGCCATGGGGGGTATCTGACGCCATCAGGAAGGTATCTAGGTAGTTTTTGAAGGGATTTCAGCCATGGGGGTATCTGAAGCCATCAGGAAGGTATCTTGGTAGTTTTTGAAGGGGATTTCAGCCATGGGGGGTATCTGAAGCCATCAGGAAGGTATCTAGGTAGTTTTTGAAGGGGATTTCAGCCATGGGGGGTATCTGAAGCCATCAGGAAGGTATCTAGGTAGTTTTTGAAGGGGATTTCAGCCATGGGGGTATCTGAAGCCAGCAGGAAGGTATCTAGGTAGTTTTTGAAGGGATTTCAGCCATGGGGGTATCTGAAGCCATCAGGAAGGTATCTAGGTAGTTTTTTGAAGGGGATTTCAGCCATGGGGGGTATCTGAAGCCATCAGGAAGGTATCTTGGTAGTTTTTGAAGGGGATTTCAGCCATGGGGGGTATCTGAAGCCATCAGGAAGGTATCTAGGTAGTTTTTGAAGGGGATTTCAGCCATGGGGGTATCTGACGCCATCAGGAAGGTATCTAGGTAGTTTTTGAAGGGGATTTCAGCCATGGGGGGTATCTGAAGCCATCAGGAAGGTATCTAGGTAGTTTTTGAAGGGGATTTCAGCCATGGGGGGTATCTGAAGCCATCAGGAAGGTATCTAGGTAGTTTTGGAAGGGGATTTCAGCCATGGGGGGTATCTGAAGCCATCAGGAAGGTATCTAGGTAGTTTTTGAAGGGGATTTCAGCCATGGGGGTATCTGACGCCATCAGGAAGGTATCTAGGTAGTTTTTGAAGGGGATTTCAGCCATGGGGGTATCTGAAGCCATCAGGAAGGTATCTTGGTAGTTTTTGAAGGGGATTTCAGCCATGGGGGGTATCTGAAGCCATCAGGAAGGTATCTAGGTAGTTTTTGAAGGGGATTTCAGCCATGGGGGGTATCTGAAGCCATCAGGAAGGTATCTAGGTAGTTTTTTGAAGGGGATTTCAGCCATGGGGGGTATCTGAAGCCAGCAGGAAGGTATCTAGGTAGTTTTTGAAGGGGATTTCAGCCATGGGGGGTATCTGAAGCCATCAGGAAGGTATCTAGGTAGTTTTTGAAGGGGATTTCAGCCATGGGGGTATCTGAAGCCATCAGGAAGGTATCTAGGTAGTTTTTGAAGGGGATTTCAGCCATGGGGGGTATCTGAAGCCATCAGGAAGGTATCTAGGTAGTTTTTGAAGGGGATTTCAGCCATGGGGGGTATCTAAAGCCACCAGGGAGGTATCGAAGTAGTTTTTTAAGTGGATTGCATGAAGGGTAGCTCGAAGGCCAGATGGTTACAGTCGCGAAGCGACTGGAACCATCTGGTACTGAATAGTCGGGAAAAATCGATACCCATACTTTTTTAGAGTGATCAACGCCCCGGCCGTGAAATCACCGCGCTCCTTCAACTTCCCGGCATGGAAGAGCTCAAGGCAGAGAAGAAGATTTAAGTTATATTTATTGGATTTTGTTGTTTTTATCCTCTATACGTTTTTTCCTTTGCTTGTTACCTCTCTTTGCCATACTTACGACTTTATCACCTTGATTCTATTCAGTTCTTGTACCACTGCATTTTATTCCAAGATTTTTCTCGATCTCACTACGCAAAGAACATTTATATATCGAAGACATTTAATCCTCTTATCGATTTCTTCTTTGATAAATCGTGCTCAACGTGGACCAGAAAAAAAACTGTTTTGATCTAGAGGCTGCGGAAAACAAAACAAAGCTATTTCTTCAGGCGGAAATTATATCCTTAATGTACGCTGTTTTGCGTGAAGTCGCAAGGGAGCAAGCTTGTAAAAAAAGGATGCCAAATTACCGGCATCCGAGATATCGACACCAGAATACCGACATCAAAGATATTGACGTCACCAAAATACCGACGCCACCAAAATACCGGCCAGCCAAAATTCCGGCAGGCCAGAACCCATTTCGAACCGTTATTTTGCGGCTTCGTCGGGATTATGACCGTCCGGATTTTGGGATCAGAAATTCTGGTTGTCGGTATTTTCGGTGTCGGTATTGTTACGGAAATTTACCGATTCGGAACTTGACAGCCTTAAAACCATCGATTTCGGCGGTAACGAGCAGGAAAACCGATCCCCTAATGTCAACATGCAGAAATGCGGCTATGTCATTAATCCTTGAAACCATTTTAATTGTCAAAGTGGTTTTCGATATCTGCGTAGTAGCGCAAAATCTTACGGAATTTGCTTGTGTTCTGGCAAGAGGTTAGCAACCTGCGTGTTACGATTTTGAAAAACGGTTCTAGATCCTAAGAAAATGAATATTAGTGTATTTCGACCGGACTATGCCATCAAAATCCGGTCATACAGATAGAAATCTTTATTTTTACAAAAAAGCAGATAATTTTGTGCAAATTTAACGAATGAGGTTGATACAATCGTAACCCTTGGCGTGCATGGAGAGCTCGATCGTTTGTACGTTGTAGAACTAAGAATTATAAAATCGATTCATCAAAAAGGTTACGAGTCTATCGTCAGTCCCTAACAATCTCCGCTAGCTTGCCCTGAAATCCTTACCTCATTTGGGGTATTTCCAGACTGGATGTACCGCTTGGGGATGGGGAAGGTGGCTTTGTAGTAGCAGATCGGGAGGATGCGCTTCCACTAAAAACTCTGCTAAAATACGGTATAAAAAGGAATCCAATAAAAAATGCAATAAAAGAATTTAAAAGGTGAAGTATACTGCGTATAAAAATTTACCGCCGGCATCTCGCACTTGTGGTAGATGTTCAGCTTGGCAGTGATACCGCCGAGCTCGGATTGGTGGCCGCCAAGGCGGAAATGGCCGTCAGAGCTGGAGAAGGTTTGGGCAAGCTTGTCGTCGTGGACTAAAAATGATAAATTCATAGATACCTATTGACCTGGAGTAATGGAAAATCACCGGTGCTTTCTTATGTAATTTCATCTAAATTGGCTACGAAAATTGACGTTCTGCTATCGGATTTTCGATTGTTCGTGGGTTGCCAAACCCACGCAAAGTCACACCAAAAACTCACGCGTGTCCACCTCGTAGATGCGCACTTTCGCGTCACCGTAGGGCTGTCCGTTGCACATCAAGACACCCTCGACACCGACGGCGTATTCGCCGGCGGAGGTGACGGCAACAAGACCGAGCAGTACGACACAGGCTGATCGGAGCATTCTGGAAATTAATTCATTAAAAATTGAGAGCTCTACATTAAAAAGGACTTCCAAAAAATAAAACGATACTTTTTGACCGAAAAAAACGCAAAAAATGAAAAAATAAAACGTAAAAAATGAGCGGACTTAACTGCAAACCAGAATTTAAATCAAAAAAATGTGGTTTGTATTGTCGAGTTTAGTTAGGATTTGATTAATTTAGGAAAATGTAGGAAATGGAAGCAAAACAAGGAAAAATGTAAATCCTTCCGAAATAATAAAGATTCTAAAGCTAAATTTATTAGAAAACTTCCGGAACGCGGAAACGACATGAATTGACCCGATCTTATTATAGTCCCGTTATATACCTCACAAAACCCAATCGGCAAACGATCCGGAAATTCGATGATTCACCCCCGAAAACAACCCCGAGAAAGTCAATGACTGTTTAGATCCGAAAATACGATAAAAAAAATGGGGACTCCGCCTTGGCAGGGAATTCTATCATTTTCGATGGGAGGATGGGGGCGCCGAGAAAAGTTGACGGATAACCCGCCGCTCGATTTCCAATCTTGACACCCACACATTTGGATCGTTGGCTAGGATTTAGTAAATGAGAGAAAACTCGCGCCCGGGCCTGGGGTAGTGGACGCGGAAATGATCCGTTCGACAGTTTCTGTACTGGGCACCAAGGGATTAAAGGGTTGGGAATTTTAGAGTAGGGCGAGATGGCGACAGTAGACCAAACGCCAAATTTGAAGATATGAATTGTGCTTCTTAAAATGCTAATACCAGATACTTTTCTAGGTGTTCGTGTTTCGCCTCACAATCAACTACACTGATCAGAAATTTGATTTGGCCCTAAAGCCACGAAAGCTGGAGAATAGTTGGGTCAGGTCTTGACGTTTTTTGCCAAGTGCCTCACGTTTGCTGTCACTTTTTGAGCGTTCCTACAAGATAAAAAACCCGATCACCATTTCTCGAGTTTCCTTTTCTGTTAAAATTATTCATTTCCTAGCAATCAGTCTAACCCTAGTTTTTGCACAAAATCGGGAGCCCGGGTTTAGGCTAATTTTGCACGCAATTGTCATTTTCTGGCGTTCAAAAAACGGTGCAAGTTGTTGTGCAACTCCCCGAGCCAGGCCGAACCCGCCTGCGCACGTATTTTCCGGGTTTTTGTGCAGCTCTTCGTTGGCCAAATGCGGGTCGACGCGGAACGATTTCGACACTTCCACCTTTTTAGGCATCCTCTTCGGGTATCAAAGTTCTCCGGGAGGTTTGGCCTACTTCCGCGTACCTGAGGAATTCATTTGTGAATTGCGTCGCACAACATAATGTGTACACGTGCGGATGCGTATGAAGTCCACCGTAAGTATTAAAATGTTATCTGTCACAAATATCTGAATTCCTGCATAGCTGGAAAGCTTGCGGCTCTTTTTTATATGTCCAGAAAACGTATATGAAGTCCGATTGTTGGTTAGTAAACAAAAGCAAAAAGCTGCTGAAGCACAAAAATATCCTTGGGCCTGGTTGTACGTCTTATTGCAGTTATTCGCTATCTAAATTACGCGGTCGTGTTATGCATCCATTCTCCGAGATCGAGACATTATAAAAGAGCGGCTTATAAAACCAGCTAGCTAGTAATGAACATCGAGCCGAGCAGCTACGGTATCTATTCAGATAGCTACATCCAAAATATCAATCGCAAGATGAAAAAGTGCTGGTTCCCAAAAGTGCAGCTCCCAGGATGCAAAT